GTCAAATAGCTCCCTACAAGTGGCTAATGGATGGAATCGAAGATGGTTGCAGAGTGTGCATAAATGCGGACTGCCAAATCCCCAGGGTGCCGATACCGGTCAATGTCAAATACCTCTTTTGTCGCATCACTAGTATATCTCAAAGGACGTGATAGGGCTGTTGTAGATTTTAAACGTTTCTCATCATAGCTGTAAAAATCTAAATATGTTAAACTTAATAGTCATTTGTTTTCTAACTAATTTGTTTTAGGACCAAGTGTCCTCAAAAATTTCCAAAATTTACAACTTTTCGGTCTCGTTGAACTAGAAAAATTTCTGTCTTTATTATATTAATAATACGAAGAAATCAGTCTCCACTGTACTCGACTAGAGATGGTTCGGTTAAGCTTTTGTTTAAGTAAAATTTCGGCTCTTTTGTCGGGGTTTTGTTTATGTCCCCAATTCCCTAATCACTTAATTATTTAACTACTTCTTAAGTAGGAATAAGTCAAATCCAGTTACTTTGTACTCGAAGTCAAATCCAGTTACTTTGTACAAATTTATATTTGTAGTCTTGGGAAAAAAGTGAAAAGACAAATTTTTATAACAGATACATAAATCATAAATTTAAGGAATATAAATTCTAGAGTTTTTACTGTACCTCGTGCATCTCTCTCATTCATTACATTTAGTTATAAATAATGCTGCCAAAGTAACAGTTAATTTTTTAACATTATATAAGAATTGTTCATGTTTTTTTCTACATCCCCTTAGAGATGGGATATACAAAATCGTAATATCACTGGTTTAACATTGAAATCCATGAGTAATATAAAATTGGAGAGTGGAATAAAAATATCAAATATTTTAATGGATTTTTTTTAACTTCTGTCAACTACACAGAACTATCATAAAAACATACCAGTAAATTCTTATCAGTCTACTTGTGATTCACATAATCGGGCAAGGGCACCAAATATCTAGCAGGCAGGTGGCTAACAGCCCAGAACCGGTCCTGGATAGAATTGGATGCATTATACGTGTAGTATCCACCCAAGGTCCTAGGCTTCCACCAGCTAAATCGGGTGAGGTTGATGCTATGTAAAGCGCATGCGCAAATCTGGCTTTTTGGATGCTGACAATACAGCGCTTTCACTCCACCACTAATATTCGAATATACAATAGTAATCTTATCTTTTTTTACATGTGTAGTATAGAAATTTGTAATAAGATACATAATGCGGTTATAATAAAATATTGTGCGATTATTTTCATATAATTAAAATTAATATGTATTTATTTTTTAGAAAATACAAGGGAAGCAGTGCATCCACTGCTTCCAATGAAGGCATGCCACTGATTTAAACTATATCTATTTATATCTGTGTATAAATTCTTTTGAATATTTATTATAATTTATGTTTTGAAACATCAGATGATAACAGGATTAACAAAAATATTTTTACACTACATTTATAGATTCTGTAGTTGTTATTTAAAAAATAGCAGTTAATGATTGTTTACTATTTTCAATAACCAATACTCAGTTCAAGTTATAATTACATCAAAATAAATCAACAAACACCTTTTAGGCTGCTGGGATTTGCTTTTATTTACATCTATTTATGCTATAATTATATCTATGTGAAATTGGAAAATGCAAAAAATATCTATAGAATTTTTTAAATTTCCATGTCTTTTATTTTGATTACCTGTTTATATTTTATTTCATTTAATTATTATTATACATTTGAACTGAATCAAAAATTATGAAAAATCTGAAAGTTTTTTTGAAAAATAATCCAATTTTATTCATATTAAGCTTAGCAATTATAACAATTACTCCATAACATATATGAATTCAGAATATTTAATTGATGGTATATATTTTAAATATTGCCATTTATAATAAATTTATATTATTAAAATATTCTATTACTTAAATTATGATAATAAATGAATAAAATAAATTAAATAAAACTTGATTATTAATAATGAAATTCAAACAGATTAATTATACATATTTATACAGATTTATTAGATAATTTTATATTTACATTAATATGAAAATTAGATCACATCAGCTAAGAATTGTTTTAATAAAAAAAATATTCTTTAAAATAAGTATATCTCAATATTTTTATTCTTGCAAAATAAAGTACAATCAAGATCTAAGCAGTTTTTGATAGAACTGATAAATTGCATTATTGAAATACATGTACTGTACAACAATCTGTAGAAATTAAGAAACAATTGTCCTATAAAAACACACTAAAATTACAATGTATAATATTGTAATGTGAATTTAACATAAGAATTAATTTATTTTATGCAAATAAAAATATTTCTTAATTTTGATTTAATATTACAAATTTATTTAATATTATCTTTTATTAACTTAATATAAATAAGTTAAGATAAAACAGATTTACAAGAAAATTTTATACATGCTGCCCTAACTATAGCCTCGGGCTAAATCTGACTATGGCACACACTAATCCAACTCACAAATATATCTGACACATCACTTACAATAGAAAATAGGCCCAGTGTATATATATGGAATATAAAAAATATTTGTAGTTCACCTACCTATGACTTATGTGCAATTTAGCTTGCCAATAGAAAAATTTGGATACCATCACTCTAAATAATGAAAAAATTTTCATAAAAAATTAGATTAAAAGTTCAAGTGTATAGTACAGTGAATATACAGCATAAAAAGTGCTGTATGATATTTAATAAGGTGCTTCAAATTTATGGCACATAAGGCATCTGGTATTTCTAATGGCTATTCTAAGTCACATGAATCGTATTTTTGGCAAAAGTACATCACACCCATAAGGTAACTTTATTCGGAAATGGACATAGGGAATACCCTGTTGTTGTGGCAGGTAATCAAAAAGTTCAGTTTTTCTCTTACCCTGGTTAGGGATAGAACAGCTTTTCTGTAATCAAACTGAACTTTTTGATTACCTGCCACAACGACAAGACTATGACCATCTTCCGAATAAAGCTATCATACGGCTGTGATGCACTTTTGCCAAAAATACGATTCCCGTGTCTCAGAAAAGTCATTACAAATGTATGATATTAAGTTATCACACAGTGAGTGTTCCAAGTAGCCCAAATATAATAATACCTTTTAGTCCTTTAGTAGTAAACTGATTGCAATCTTGCGATTTCTCGTTGTTTTGACACTGCATGAGTATTTAATGCGTTATTTTAATTTATAAGTGTATAATAAATGTATTTACTATTACCGTATAGTTATTTGTTTTATAAGGCGCGAATTTCAAAATATCGCGCGCTAAATGACGGGAGTTATCTTTACATTGCATTGAAAATAAGAAAATATCATTCACGATGAATTAGTATCAGGTCGCCATGAAACCACGGTCTTCGAATGACCTCATTATGACCCCCTGAGGGCATTCTACTTTACCTTGACATCGCTAAACTTTATTAAAAATAAACAATTTAATCTATTAAAAATTAACGCAAGCTTCTCATATTATCGACGATTATTTTCACGTTTCTGCGATAACATTTCTAACAAACATCCACGTTATTTTCACATGTCATTAACTTGAAAGTAATGAAATGTATTTAGGTATTTTCTTAAATAATTTCTATATTAAGTAATATTCCTGTGAAAATGGCTATATACATAGCGATACAAAAATAATTTTATTCTTACGTTTAGTATATAATTAAAGAGAACATTCTGATTGCTGTTTGCTTCCTATTCAGGTCCAGCTCACCAAACATGTTTACATTCCATCATGGCGTTTGTTGATCACATTCCAATGTTGTTCTATTTTCAGTGCTGCCAGCCTGGATTAAAAATTTTTAAAATAGTTTATGAGCACGGTTTATTATAGAATTTCAAATTAGTTTCAATATTAACATGAAAAAATTGAGTAAAATAATAAATTACATTTAAGCCGTAACTTGTTACATTAAAATTTACCTTTAAATTATTATACTACATATCAGTTATTATTTAATCATAATACAGTATATATTAAAATGCTATTTTTAACAAATTAAAATTGTAAAAGCCAATTACGAGTGAAATTTTCATTAGATCGAACCCCATTTGAGATATGACCCCTACTTCTCTATCTCCCCCGATTTATAATCTCCAAAGTACTGTACAACATCATAAATACTCCATATAAAGAAATATTCTTTCCAAATTTAAAAATTTTGGTCCATGGGGTTCTGAGATATAAAGCAAAATACAGGCCCATATATAAAGCATACATACAATCACACAGACGAACACAGGAATCATCCATAAATTAAGTTACGCTATGGTACTGAATGTTATATTAGTTTATTAATTACATGTATAGTGTACAAAGCAGTGACATAAACAATATATATATTANTTGTAGTTATAGAAACTGGCAAATATAGAATGCTAAATTTGAAAAACTAATCTTTTTATCTTAATTTAAGATTTTAATTATTTAACAAGATAGTATGAAATAATTCTGCTTCAATGCTAAGCAAATAATCAAACAACATCTCTAAAACCCAATATATTATAAAACTACAAGCCAGCCAATGCCGTGTGTCATCAGGCTAGATAATGGCTATAATACTAATAAATTATGAAACAACTTGGTACTAGAGAGAAGCGTTAGGTGACATCTCTTAATAAATTTAATAATTATACTTATTAATTGAATAGTTTAGGTCTGGGTAGTGTAATTGGCAACACATCTGCACATTAAGCAGGATGTTTAGGTTTGAGTCCCGCTCTGGGTGATTCTTTTCTTCCAGTAGTTCTAATTATTTAATTAAAAATTATAATTATTAAATTTATTAAGAGAAGGCACCTAACGCCTCCCTCTAGTACCAAACTGTTTCATAATTTATTAGTATTATAGCCGTTATCCAGCTTGATGACACACAGCATTGGTTGGCTTGTAGCAAATATTCAATTTTCATCCAAATGAACATTTCATTACAAATTTCATTACAATTCAAATCAAAGAAAAATTTGTCACCTGCATTCTTCGATTTATTTCTTTCATGAGTGCTCCATGATCCATCATCAATTTGAGATTTTCTGCTTCAAACCTCCTAAGATGTCGAACGAGTTCTTGTGGAGATAATCTAAGTAGTTCCTCATCACTGGGTTTTGAAGAAAGTTGTGCTGTCATATTGTAAATCTTTACAAACTAGCATGATAAGGAATAAATTCTTTGTAGCTATACCAAACTGTACCTGTTTTATCATTAAAAAAAATTGGAGTCAATTAAATCTAAAATAATTATTTTGTTATACTTTACAATTCATAAATTTTAAATTCATTCATATATCTATAATACAAAGTCAATTAATTTAATATAAAAAAATATCTAAAATTCATTAAGTTAGAATTAGATTAAATGATTTAATGAATACACAACTTGAAATACAGGAAATAGATGATCATCTGAAAATTCTAATGATTAAATCAAAATTTAATTAAATTTATGTTCTACCTAAGAAAAAAAAATCATAATTTGGTGAATTTTGGCAGTTTTTAAATTTACCTTCAATAAAGCAACCTCTTGCACAACTCCTGGGAAGATAAATCAACACAAAAAAACGTTTTTTAATATCCCAGTATGAACAAATTTAAACAAAGCGAACGTTATCGACCATAAAATGATCAAAAACATTCGTTTTGTTTAAATTTGTTCATACTGGGATATTAAAAAATTTTTTTTATTACCTTCAATTTAAAATAATCTCTTCTGCTCTTCCATTAAGGTTATGAAGCAAATTGTAAACTATTTTAGCCAGTAGATTTGCAAGAGATTGACTAATGCAGATAATGTATCAATAGTAAGACAAATTTTCTGGATTAAGATTAAGCTTAAATTAATCAACACTACAATGAATGAAGCATGTACGACATTGTCCTTTCAATAAACATTTGATGACACAGTAAAGCTGTTGTTTTTCACTATTAATTTTACATCATTCATTTTGATGGAAAATAGAGAAAGAGAACAATAATCTTAAATATACATACTAGGTATTTTGTACAATATCAAATCTCAAATATATCTTTTCTACAAGTTCTATTATATTTATTGTAATTTTCAACAAAATTTTATATCTGATTAGCTTATTAAATTATTTAAACCAGTAGCGTGCCGTGACATTTGATGATAGGGAAGCTATGTTTCTGTAAGAAGCTGACATCCAGGGGCAATCAGTCAATTGCATGTCAGTGATGGTCTAGGGTCCATTTGTATCATTTATTCAATAAGCCAGTAAAAACTGTAGACTTCTCTAAATGCATTTTTAATATGACAATTACATTCCAAATCACTAACCACAATATAAGGGCTACAATTAAAAATAAAATAATAAAAACTTACTTGGTGAAATAAAATGTGTGGTGGATGTACTGGTACATACCTGGTATAAAATATTCTTCAATTGAATATACTTTTAAAGAAAATTATAATTAAATATAGCTTTGTAAAGAAACATACATAAAAATATAAAATATTCTTTACTTTTTAAATCTTAAAACAATGCACTTAGTGAAATAGCTCCCTACAAGTGGCTAATGGATGGAATCGAAGATGGTTGCAGAGTGTGCATAAATGCGGACTGCCAAATCCCCAGGGTGCCGATACCGGTCAATGTCAAATACCTCTTTTGTCGCATCACTAGTATATCTCAAAGGACGCGACAGGGCTGTTGTAGATTTTAAACGTTTCTCACCATAGCTGTAAAAATCTAAATATGTTAAACTTAATAG